ATTGGTGAACATCTGGGCAAGGGAAGATAGGAAAGGAATAATTTCCTCCCCAGGGATGTTTCTCCTCCGAAGGACAATTGTAAACAAGTGTGTTGAGGCACATTGAGTTGTAACACTCTTACGTGCATATCCAGGGCATGCTGGCTACATGAAACAACTTCATCAAAAAATAGTAATAAATACATTAGTATGGGCAAGTCCCAGTGGAATCGCAGGAAAGTGGGCTCTTTCTCTAAGACAGACCAAAAGAGCACATCATTAACAAGGCAGATGCTTGTCTTCACAACTCTCCACTTCCCCTCCTGTTGGATGACAACCAATTAATATGATCATCTAAACCAATTTAAAATGCTAGTAAGTATTGATAGGATAATATGTTACTCCCTCATGCATTCTCTCATTCAACAAATATTTACTGAGGGTTTCATGTTGTAAAGTTTTGTTGCACAGCAGTTAACAAAGTAGACCCATATTCTTGCTTTTTGGAGCTTCCATTTGAGCAGGTGGAGGCAGACAATAAACACAGGATATGTTGGATAGTGAAAATTCATTGGGGAAAAGAGAGCAGGCCCAGGGGGATGGGAGCAGTTTGCCATAATCCTTTGGTCAGAGAAGGTCTCATGGAGGAACTGACTTTAGAGGAAAGACTTGAAGGAGGTGAGGGAGTGAGCCTTGTGGATGTCTGGGGGAGAAGGTTCCAGGGAGATGGAAGAGACAGGGCTGAGGCTCTCTGTGCCGGCCTGTTCAAGGGTCAGCAAGAAGGGAAGTGGGGTTGTAGCAGATGAGGAGAATAGGGGAGAAGTGAGACGTACAGGTCCCAGAGGGCCATGTGGGCCGTGGTGAGGACTTCAGCATCTACTCTGAGTGAACTAGGGGCTACTGAAAGGTGCTGAGCAGAGGAGTGATGTGATGTGATTCAAGGAACGTTCTGACCGTTATGTTGAGCATGGACTAGAGTTGACACAGGTGGAATCAGGGGACTCAGAGAGGATGGTCCTGCATTAATCAGAGTGTGGTGGTGGAGGCTTTGACCTGATCTAGCAGGGGAAGTGTGGAAAAGGGAAAGATTCTGACCATCTTTGGACAGTAGAGCCGAGGATTTCCTGAGGCTATGTATGGCTAGTATACATACATATAACACCACAAACATAACATTTATGTTAAATGTACATACATTTAACATTACATATTTTTCTGGGTGATTTTCCATGTTAGAACCCAAAGGTTAAACGACTCCCAAGGAGACATTTTGGTAGAGGAGGATCACGAATCACCACACTAGTGACTGTATTTCACCCTGAGTGGGCCCTGAGGTGAATGCCCTCATGCTGGCCACCAGTGTCTTTGCAGGGAAGTAGGTGGTCGGGGATATGAAGGATAAGGAAATATCTTTTCAGAGATGGCATGCAGTTGTTTGGGTTCAGTTGTGTTTCAGATCGCTTCTGTGGCCCCTCCAGTCCACACTGTTGTGGGCCCTGGCAGGCTGTCCTGTAGGACAGCATCTGTGCTGCCAATGTTCTCCAAACAAAGACCTCCAGGAACACACCTGGTATTGACCAATTTGTGTTTATTAGTTTTTGCAAGGAAGGAGAATGTACACCATGTGGAAACCATGGGCTGTCACAGTAAGGGGGTGTTAGAGAAGCATGGTGTAGAATGTGGACTTTTGTTAGGGGAGTTAGGGGAGGGTTTACAGAAGTGTGGCTTTGCTCTGTATTGGATGCTGTCAGGAAGGTTGGGGGGTTGTGATGCTATGGCTGGGCATCAATAAGCCTTAACTAGGAGGAGGACTAGAATGAGGCTAAAGCTGTAATTGGTCAAGGAGCAGTAGTCACTCATAGCCAGAATAGGGAAATGTTTGAACGTGACTGTAGTTTGGACTGTGTTCTTGTTTTTCTTGTTGTTCAAGCATGATTGTTAATTGGTCTTGTTTTTGTCTTGACTCATCACAGTGACAAAGAGCCCTTGTCTGATGTTGATGTTCCGTGAAATTGCCTATTTTCAACAGGAGAACACAGAGTCTAGGTTGTTTTTCTTTTTGTCCCCAGGGTTCTCTCTTGCCCTGTGGCTTCTGCCTGGATTTGGTCACTGGGGAGACATAGCAGAAGATGCATGGAAGGAGAGAGGAGAGAGGGGTCAAGGTACGTATCCCCCTGGCTTTCCCCTTGCAGAATCACCTCTAGCTGGCTGCATTCCCTTCTTGAGGATCACAGCTCCTCTCAAGAAAGCCCTCTCTACAGCACTCTCTTCTTTTAGGTCTTTGAAATGGCTTCCTCTCCACTTCCCTTTGGGCTTTTGGGTGGGTGGTAACAGTTCCACTGTTCTTGGCTGTGGAGTATTACTCTATCCCATGTAGTTTTCCCCTCAGCATCACCATGCTTTTGGAAACAGCTCCTTAATGAAACCACCCTTGAATAGTCTAATGTGAGTCTGCCACTGATCTCTGTTGAGATTCTCATCCATACAGGAGGCTCCAAAGAATTCAGGCTCATTTGTTCTTCCGAAGCACTGGGTTCTGATCTTCTCATTGAAATGAAGGGTTATGAGGATGGAGGGATCCATCTGGAGTGTATGTTGACCAGCTGGTTTACTCAGACCCAAATGCAGTGGAGAGATGCCAAGGGAGGGGTCATCCCAGCTGTGGCTGCATCCTTGGTTATACATGGAGCCAGCCTATATGCAGTCACAGCATCTGTGATCATGGAAGGAAGTTCTGAGGAAGGGGTATCCTGTGTCATCAGAAATCCCCTCCTCGGGCAGGAAAAGACACCTGGGATTTAGCCTGCTTAGCCTCAGTTATTCTGTGCTGAGCTGTGGCTATTGAAAGAAGGACGATATGTGATTCCCTGTCATCATCTGTTTCAGCACTGGGGGCAGGCATGGACATGTGGCACCCAGGCCAGACACAAATCTACATGAAGTCCTCAGGAGAGCCCTACTAATAGCAATATCCAACCCCTGCACACTCCCCTGCCTCTGACAGTATTCCACTTTGAGATACTGGAGGCAGAGGAGGGTCCTGACTGAAGCCCTGGCCCAGCCCAGAGCCTGAATCAAAGTGATCCAAAGACTGAGTCAGTCAGAGGAGCAGGGAAATGTGAGTATCTGAGAAAAGGCTGTGGGGAGATTGCCAGACGGGTGTGGTTGAAGGAGACAGGAGGGTGTGAGTGTGAGGTCAGAGGGCTCCTTGAAGGAAGGGCTCTCTCTGATTCTTTTCTTTACTCCTCCTACCCAACCTCTGCACTCAGCACAGTGTCTGGCTCACAGCAAATAGACAGGGGTCTCTGCTTATAACCTCAACCCCGCTCATCTTGTTCCCTTTGCCTGAGCTTTGCTTGGCTTGTCTATTTCCAAATTCAAGCTCCAAGTGGAAAACAGTATTCATTCATTCCACTAATATTTACCAAGAGTCCTCTGTGCTTAAGATTGCCTCATTTAGCAAATATAAATACAATGTATTATATTTGGCAATCCTTCTTACCTTCTGTTTTAGGTTTTGGGAATCCAGCAGAAGACAAAGCAAACAAAAATTTCTGCCCCTGTGAAGCTTACATTCAAGAGCAGGGAGACGGATAATAAATAAAGAGAAATATAAATTGATTACAACATGATGTTAGGGACAAAATAAAGCAGGTTAGGTATGCATTGGCCCTAGATTGTTGCATTTCTGTCCATTTATGACTCTGTTCTGGCTGTAAGGGTAGTTTTTATTTTGTTAATTTAACTTTTTCTATACATAGGATATTTCACTGATTTTGCAACACTTGAAAAGGCTTTCTCATCATGTGGAATCCTTTTTCTGAGAGGCAAACAAAAGATTTACACTCTCATTTTTTCAACTTAGCAGTATTTATGGGATGCTTACAAAATGACCATTGTCTACTGAGTGCAGAGGAGAATTCACAAGAAATACATGCATAAAAGTTCATCTAAATGGTCAAGTTCTCTTCTCACAGGTTTCTCGCTGTCAATAGCACAGTCAATAGCACAGGTAACATGATCAAACTCTCTGTTTTATAGGTAGAAAATTAAGAGAGAGGGACTTTGGATGACTTGACAGAAGCTACATGAGGAGTTTGCAGAGGAGATGGGACTAGTCCTCAGGGCTTCTTATTCTGTTGTCCCTCCCCTGACAAAAATTAACAATTTAATGTAACTTGAGGGGCTCCCATGTTCAAGATGATTTTCAGTGAAAAACTCTTCCTCCCATGATTTGAGGAAAAGGGAACAGTGTCCACCCATTCCTCCAGATCTCAGTTTCATATTTCAGGGGTTATTTGTGGCTTCCTGATTTAAGTTCCCAGAGGGATTTTTGATTTTTTGTTTTCTACAATGACTCACAAGATTTCTTGGCTTTGTCACCATCCAGTGGGAGAAAATAGGGTAAGGCAGGAGTAACTGTCCCATCCAGGTCCCTCCGTGGCATTGGGCTGGACCAGGAATCTTGGAGAGTCCTTGAAGCATCCTCTGTGCGCCAAAGTGCCACACTGTCTTTGGCCCTTTCCTGCTTTTCTCTGCAGGAATAGTGCTCAGCAATTCCAGCTGAGGAACAATATTCCTCAAGGACTTTCCTTGGGCAGAAGCTCACACTTCACTCTTCCTTCTTCTGGATCTTCTCCTGGTGGATGCAATGGGGTTCATCTGGAAACTTCTCTGGAAGAAAGAGTGAGAATGCCAGACCAAAGGTAAAGCAATCAGAAGACCAAGACAGTGAGGTCCAAAGAAGATTGTGGAAGATGGGGTTGTACAGAGGGAAGGGAGAGGACAAGGATCAAGAACATCAGCAGAAGTTTTCATTGAGATTTTTCATGTAGTGTTTCATCATTCAACACCAACAATTCTGCTCCATTTCCTTCCCCACCTGTGACCCTGACTGTGCCCTAGTCTTCCTAGTTCTGGGACAGCTACCAGTACTCACTGCACCTAATCCAGGAAGGAGTCTCCTAGAGACCCTTTTGCCCAGTAGACCTGGTACTGATTAACTTCTCCTCCTTTTGCAGAGAAACTCCAAAGAGAACTCAGTAAGTTCTGTGCTTACTCCATCTCTGTGTACTATTTAAGACCTTCTCATGTGCCAGTTATGTCATGAGTTTTTTTTGTTCTACTTGAGGCTGGAGAAAAGGCAAGAAAGTGGATGGTGAGTAAATTGGAATTTTTGTTCAGACTTAATCTGAATCATTTAACAGGTTCATTTATTTTTACTCTTTCCCTCGAGGCCTTGTTCACTCCTACACAATCTGGACTTAACCCATATTATCCCAACATCTCTTGGTCACACCTCATGGATGTCCCAAAGGGTTTTAAAGCCTGCGTCCAAAACTGAACTCCATGTCCTTTCCTGTCCACCTGCTCTTCCTCCTGTGCACCCTTGATTCCTCAAGGCTGCCCCCACCCACCCAGGTGGGCTCCTTTCTCTCCTAACCCCTCAGAGAAAGTCCTTTCTACTGCTTAGCCCAGGATTCCTTCTCAGCATAGACAATACCTCCCAATTTTTCTCTATTCTGTTATCACAGATCCCTGGGACTCAGTTTCCCATAGCCCTTCTCTTCACAGTTGACACCAACAAACCACTGTAACTCTTTGGTTTCTGTTTCCCTTCCTCCGAGAGATACTGCTGTCTTTTATCTCTTGTGGCTTTTAGTTTAAATAAATATCAGGAAACAGAAAAGAAATCTGGAAAACAGCCGTAATAAGCAACATATTGCTCTTTAATATTTGTTACAGAGGTCCGCCAGCTGGGTATGGTTGGGTTCATATGCTCCATTTCAGCAGCCCAGGGTTTGCGGGTTCAGATCCTGGGCCCAGACTTGCACATCACTCATCAATCCATGCTGTGCCAGCGTCCCACATACAAAATAGAGGAAGATGGGCAGAGATGTTAGCTCAAGGCAGATCTTCCTCAGGAAAATGAAGATTGGCAATGGATGTTAGCTCAGAGACAATCTTCCTCACCAAAAAATAGAATCTAAAAACCCCCACAAAGTTATTACAGTATTGATCACAGTCTAGAGTTTCAGAGTAAACTTCCTAAAACAGACATCGAGTTACATTTCTCTAAGTTCCCAAACCTCCTGTGACTTCTCATTGCCTTCTGTAGTGTTAGGGGAGTGGGGGATAATTTGGAGATTTGTAAATTCTAAAATAATTTTCAAAAATTTTTGAAAAATGGTCTTAATGTCATTTTCATATATGTGTGTTTGAGGAGGATTGTCCCTGAGCCAACATCTGTGCTAATCTTCCTCTACATTATGTGGGATGCCACCACAGCATGGCCTATGAATGGTGCTAGGTCTACACCTGGGATCCAATCTGTGAACACTGGACGGCTGAAGTGGAGCACGTGAACTTAACCACAACACTACACCGCCTTTCTGGTCCTTAATGTCATTTTTAATCTAAACAAACGCAACGTAAGCAGACTCTGTATCACCTGGATAACTTCCTTTAATCAATTATCTCTGAGTGGTTCCAGTTGCTAGGCTCGCTGATATATTTATAATCACATCAGTGACAAATGAACTCCCTACTGTCAGATTTTAACTTTCAGTGCTACAGTTTCAAAGTGGCTCTCTCAGTGGTTGAAGATATGTTTTCAGATGGATTCTAGAAATTAGTTTTTGTCTAAGACAGTTTCTTTTATAACTCAACTGAAGAAACAATACCCTAAAAGATAAAGTCCAATCCCTGGATGTATTGTCCTTGCATTATAGGCACTCAGTGATCCAGTTTCCCTGTGTCTGCTCCATCCTTGGACAGGCCCTGCCATGTGCTGCCCTGCACTGGCCTGACCACACTACCTGCAGTGCCCCAAATGCATCACTTAGTTTCACACCGCTGTGTCCATTTCCTCTGCCTGTTCAACACCCTTGCAAGCTCCTGTTTATCCTACCTCCTGGGAAAAAAGAAAAAAGGTAACCTCACCTCTCTGAAACTCTATTATCCTCACCTAGAAATTGAATTAATTATACCCACCACTCGGATCAATGTTCGGTAATGAGATAAGGTGTGGAGAGCACCCAGTAAGGATGTAGCACATGGCTGTGATCAGCAAACTTTAGCCATTATCCTCATCACCACATCCTTTCCCCACAGCTCTGATGGTGATGCAACCCCCCACCTCAGAGAGAAGATAGAATAAGGAGGTCCAAAACTTCCTGCCCCACCACTTGCACCTGACCTTCCTGATCTGTTTGCTCTGATTTCAACAGAGCACATGTCCTTTCCCCCATCTGAGGCTATTTCTTCACCATCATCTTGGACCCTCACTCTCCAGCTTCCCTCAGGGCTTCTCTATTCAGCCCATTCATTCATTCATTAACTCAATAAAGATCCATGAGCACGAAATACGTGCCAGTTACTATTCTAGGTGCCTGGGGCACAGAAGTGAACAAAACAGAAATTCTGCATTTGTCAACTGCATACATCTCTCCTGTCTAGTGGAGGGAGACAGACATAAAACTAAATAAATGGTAAAATATATGGTGTGGCACGTGATGATAAGTGCTGAGGAGATAAATAAATTGGAGTAAGGAATATGGCATCAGAAGTTGCAATTTAAAATAGGGTGGTGATGATGTAGGGGGCCAAGTCACAGGACTACCCGGGGGAAGAACATTTCAAGTAGAAAGAACAGCAGCGCCTAAGTCCAGAAGCAGAAGCATGTGGGGCCTGTGTGAAGAGTAGAAAGAGGCTGGTGTGGCTAGAGGACAGGCAGTGACCAGGAGAATTGGAGGGGACAGTGTCAGAGGGATTTGGTCTTGATCACTATCATCTGGCCTTGGCTTTGTCTGTGAGAAGGGAGCTACTGACAAGTTTTGAGCAGAAGATGGACTGGATCTGGCTAGTGTTTTAAGAAGTTACTTCAGATGCTAAACTGAAACCACACTATGGGGAGAGATGGCAAGATGGAAACCTGAAAGCCAGCCAGGAGGTGCCGCAAGGATCCGTTTGAGAGAAGAGAATGGCTAATACCTAGGGGCGAAGTGGAAGTGATCAGGGCTGGATTTATTTTTTTCAATAGAGTAGAAATGCTTTGCTGATGGACTTAGATGTGGGGTGTGAATAAAGGTAGGGATCAAGGATGACTGAACGGGCCTGGGCCTAAGAAACTGTAAAGATGGTGCTGTCATTTACCGAGATTAGAGAATTGAGAGAGAAGCAGATTGTAGGGGCCAGGGAAGGAGGTGCACAGGAATCGAAGTTCGATTTTGGCTGTGTCAAGGTTGAGGAGCCTATTAGGGATCCAAGTGAAGATGCAGAGTAGGCAGTTGGATAACCAAGTGTGCAGGCCAGGCAAGTGGTGAGGGCTAGATGTATAAATTACTCTTTTTGCTCATCTGTATCTTCACTGGTGACCCCACTGTCTCTTTTTCCTTCTTTATATATTAGTTATCTATTGCTGTGTAACAAATGACCCCAAACTAGGTAGTTTAAAACAGCACACATTAATTCAGCATTTCTATGGATCAGAAATCTAGCCACTTCTGAGCTTGGTTCTCTGCTCAGGGTTTCACAGGGCTGCAATCAGGCATCAGCCAGGCTCTCATCTCCTCACCTGGTGTCTCCACTGGGGAAGAATCCACTTCCAAGCTCACTCAGGTAGTTGGCAGAATTAATTTCCTTACAGCTGTAGGATCGAGGCCCCAGCTTCTTGCTGGCTGTTGACTGGAGGCTGCTCTCAGCTTCCATAGGCCCCCTTCAGCTCCTTGCAATGCAGGCCTCCCACTGTAACTGTTTTCTTCTCCAAATCCAGGAGGGGAGAGAGGGCCTCTAGAGTGGGCCAGCTGGCAAGACAGACTCTTATACAACAATGTAAACATGGAAGTGACTGCCCATCACCTTTGTCAGATTTTATTGGTTAGAAGCAAGTCACAGTTTCAGCCCACAGTCAAGGGGATGACATTACACAAGGATGTCAACTACATGATGGATGACCACGGAGGGCTACCCTGGATTCTTCAGCCACACAACAGGCTAGAATGAATACAAGCTTCTTCCATCTCTACCAGCTCCTTCCTTCCCTCTTCCCTGGGCAATATGCTTCTCCTCGCTTCTCCCCAGGGATCTACTTCCACACAAGCAAGTTATGAGCAAAAAGAACACACGAACGGCCTCCACTTATATGCTGTGATGACTGATCTCTCCTCTACCACACCATATAAATTGTTCCTGCCAGTCACTAACGGCCTCCCAGTCACTTATGCATTTCTCTATCCTTTCTTCATGGACCTCCCTGAGTAGGTCTTCCTCCTTAATTTGGCTTCATCAATTCCCAGGATCCCCTCCTGGTCCTTTCTCTACTCCAGGGGAGCTCCTTCTCAGAATTCTTGCTCTTCTTGCTCCATAACTGCTAATATTCCTCAAGCTTCAGTGCTGGACTCTGTTTTCATACTACACACATTCCCTGCAGAAGCCAATCCATTTCTAGGGCTCTACCCTGTAAGCTTACCACCCCTCCACCACCAGCCCCAGAATTTCTGGCTTTAACCCCACCCATGCCCTGAGCCCAGTGCCCACTAGACACCTCCAATTAGAGGCCATGAAGGCATTTCACTTTCAGTGTAACCAAAACTAAACTCCCACCAACCCTGTCCTCCCTCTTTATCTGAGTGAGTGACACCATCTGATTGTCATTTTCAACTCCTCTCACTCTCTCTCATCTACTCATCTGACTAACAGTGAAGTCCTATTAATTGCACTTCCTTTAAAGTAGCGCAGCTTAGTGGTTAGAACACAGACTCTGGAGCCAGCCTGCCTAAACTCAAGTCCCAGCTCGGCCAGTAAGCACTTGTGTGACCTTTGGTGAGTTATTGAACCTCCCTGGACCTCAGCTTCCTCATGTATAAAATGTGAGAAGAGGATCTACCTGTTGTGTTGTTAATACATGTAAAGCCCTAAGCACAATGCCAAGCTCATAACAGTTTCTATATAAGTATTAGCTATTATTAAGAGTAGTAATCAAATCTACTACTCTCTTTTCTGACCCCAAGGCAACGGACTTGCTTCAAGCTCTTGTCATTTTTCCCTGGAGTATTACAGCAGCTTTCTACTTGGTCTCCCTGCCTCTTCCATCTGGCTCACCAAAAAAGGACAAGCTACATTGTGCAATCCCAGGAGGCATCATTCCAGAGCATACAA